ACATTAATTGTATGATTGTCTCCCTTTTGGGAGAACAAAATTGTTTTATGAAATTGTGCGGCCATTATTATATTCCTTGGAATATTTTTGGCATTCAATACCGTTCAACATGCAGGAAAAGTTACCATGCTATCACTTATAAATCTATTATTATTTTTTTCAGCGGTGACGGCCATAGACACAAGTGGTATTGTCTTGGTACGTGAACTTAGAAAGATGCTGGACAAAAGATCTTTGCAGGTAAGACGGTGACTAAATCAGTTTCACATCGCTCTGTGTGGGCCAATTTAAAACCAAATTATGCTTTTAATATTTCAGTTTGTAACATGATTAAACTTTTCTTATGTAGCTTGTGTTGGCAAATCCCGTCGGAAGCGTGATGGAAAAGTTGCATCAGTCTAAAATGCTGGACTCGTTGGGATTGAATGGAATATACCTTACAGTTGGAGAAGCTGTGGCTGATATTTCAGCTTTGTGGAAATCTCAGCCATGATTTTCTGGAGGACTGCAATGAGATGAGACAATGCAAAGATATGAAGAGACGGCTAACATTCAGACTTCTGTATTCTAGGAAGAGCCCTACTAAGGAAAGGACACCTCCTCTGTTCTTTTTTCTTCTCTCTTTTGAAGGCAGTGCATGGCCATGAAAATTTTGCTCTATTTTAATTAATAATAGATTGAAGACATGCTCTTACCTATGTACCAAGTTGAGCTGCATCTTCACTGTTAGTTTTAGTGTATCTTCGGCTAGATAAAAGAAGGCTGTCAGTACTCGGCGATGTCAATATCTCTATCGAAGTGTCGACATCAGTTGAAATTAATGTAACTGTAGCATATGTGAGGAAAGCTCATCATAAATCTTTCAAGTATCGCAAAATTAAAGATTCGGTCAATGCCTGTGCTGAACTGTTTGAATTTCAGTTTTATCAAAGAACTAACTAAAGTGACAAAGCCACAAGAAGGGACCAGAATACGGACCAAAATAACATGCTGTGGCCAATCTAAGGCTAAGGCTGCACTCTTTCCTTCTCTTTTCATACTCTGCCCCTCCCAAGGCGTGTCTTATCGTTCATGATTCACCATAAAGTAGCAGGCTGAAGCTACCCAATTTCTTGATCAGAACTTTCAGTCTTTCATAGCACAAGGTATCTTACGCAGTGAGTATAATGCATGCATAAAATCTTAAATTTAAAGACTTTATGCAGTGATAAAAACAAATTAAGATCACGGTCTAATAAGACACAAGGTCCAAGGAAATTCCTAGAGGATCCTTGAGATTTGGAATGTACTCCCCTGCCAACTATCTTGATTAAGATTAAGATGCTTTCACATGATGCTTAAATGGCATGTGTTTATCTTTCAACTCAACAGCTAATGATCAGAGAGAAGAGGATTAAAAATGGTTTTACAAAAATACTTATCTACCAAGATGGGATTTGTATCCAATCAGTCCACCAAAAGGAACAAATCAAACAAACAAACAAGAAAGTAAGTGAATCCCTAAAATTGTTTATAAAAAATAAAATCTTAAGTGAATCAGCTGTACTCATTTCTTATTAATGATTTTGGAATAAGTTTGGTGTTCTTTGGGATCATTGGTACCTATACAAGCAAAGCCAATGCATGCTTTTGTTGGATTAATTAATGCCTATATAAAAAAAGTTCTTATGAGATCCCTACTAATATTTGCTCCCAAATAAAAACGATCACTAATTTTGAATAACTAACATAACATAACATCAAAGAGGAACCAGCTTGTGTATGAACCTAAATAGCATCGTTCGATTGAAATTGTTGTTGCAAAAGATGCTTCCTGGGCCTGGCCAGGGACATTATCTAAGAAACGTCTGGAGATATTAGTAAAAGCAATTTCAGAGATTGTCTAAGAGAGGTCTGAGATATTAATAAATACATTTTTAAAAAAGTAATAAAAAAATAGTTGTAAAATTTTGAAAAAATCAATCTTAGAAAAGAAATGCTTAAAGTCAATTCGGTTACTTCAAGAAAAAATATCTGATATTAATAATATGTTTGATCACTACAAAAAGGGAAACAGAACCAACAAACACATCGTCAGTTCTTTCCTATCATGATTTCAGAGTTAGAGCATATACGGAAACAGATCCAACAACAACATCGTCAGTTCCAATAGCAATCTTAAACTTTTAAGATAACAAGGCAACAAACGTTTTATTTTATTTACGGTTCAAGTGTACCATAGCCAACTTTCAGTATGAATGTGATTTTTATGATTTGAAGAATTTTTTTTTTTTCTAAGCAGATAAGAAAATTTCTAAATGCATACCAAAAAATCAGGGTAAGTTACTAGTAAATCACAATTACAGATGCTACGGCTTAATTAGAAAAGAGAAATCTAGTAACTAATCCTATTTCAGGCATATAGAATAATATTCAACCAGGTAAAGTAGAAACGTTGAACTACTATATCAGCGAAAGCCTCCGTAGTTTACCTTTGAACTTTCTTGTCGCTTAACGTACAACCAGTCAGTGAAAGGACAGTATAACCAGATACTACCTTTCACCAATAATGTTAACTGATACCGGTGGAATTGATAATTTATTGCAACTCGAGAAGAAAAGAGAACAGATTTCTTTGGCGCTCCAAGAATCTCAATCCACTACGCTAAATGCTAATTTGCATACAAACTCCTGACAAGGCACCAAAATCTTCGCAAAGCAGTTCCAAGGAGAGAGAGAACCGTGTCTTAAGCTAAACAAAGCATATTTTAGTAGCGGGCAGAATCAAGCAAGCGAACTTAAATGATAAAGTGATATCATTAATTGCTTCAGGTTGGAGTCGTTGGACTGCTCGTGACACAAAAGACAACACGGCAATATTGACTCGAGCTCCACCATTCTATTGATAATAACAGTAAAGGAAGAATCTCTGGTCACTTGTCAGATAATGTACTTCTGAAGATATGGCTTTATGTAGAGCTCAGTGACAAGATAACATTCCACAATCTTATCAAGCACTTAAATGCCTGTGACTTTGGTTCTTTGAGCAAAAGAAAACAAAAGGTCGGAGACAGGAAGGGTCATGAGCCAACTGTTTGAAAACGCACCCTCTTTATGCCGTGTTAAATCATTATGCTATAAAAAGAGTTTCAAGCTTGCTCACTTCACAAAATAATTAACAATGCTGAGAAAATGTTGTGGCACCGTGCATCAAACACTTCCCCATGAACCTGAACCCATCATTAAGGGAAACAGTACATGCCTTGTATGCAACAACATGTGTGCAGAAACACAAACAACATGAAATAATGAAGTATAAGGTTCCAATACCACAATCAGAAATGCAACTTAGGAAACCAGGGCTGATGTTGCCAGATGGTCACCTAGAAACCGAAGTCAGAAAGTCCAGCCCAAGCTATCGGCTTTCAGTAGCTGAAAACAAAAGTACTGTAACTAGCTTCCTTGAAAACAGGATCTGTTGTACAGAATTATACCTCCGAGTGCTTAAACACCAAGGGGACAGGAACATAAGTCTTGTTGATGAACTATGGCCATGTGATCAAAGAAGAGAAAAGTAAAAAAAAAAAAAAAAAAGCCACTGTGAAGATAAGAGTGATTCCTGTGCAATAATATTGGTTTACTGGGCCTATAAAGATGCCTTAAGTCACAGAAAATTTCTTTAATTCATGGATATGCATGGAAACTCATCCATTTGTCATACAAAAATAAGAAACTATATCAGAAAAGAATATTAGAAGAAAACAAGCATCAACTTTTCCAAAAACCACCTACAATTGTACATTAAGAGTTTCGTGATACAATACGCACCTACTCTCATGTGATTCATCTTCACATCATTTGAGAACCATCTTCAAATTTCTTTGGTCATTCTCCATCATCAGCACCAGCATAGAATTTAACTGAATCAATAGATTAAAACCATCCCTTACGATAACTATCACAGTTTAGATTGATATCCCAAAAACTTCACACAGGTTACAGAAGCCCCTTAAAAGCTGTGAATAAGCAAAATTGCGAACCCAGGAAAAAAAAATTTATTGTTACTGCTGTTGGCTTCTCTTGTCGGCCCAACATCTGCAGGGAAATAGTCTTAGATTATTATTGCTGATATAACAAGAATTAGAAAGAAAAAAAAAAAAAAAGGTGCCACATAAGACATGCATAACAGCTCTTAGACTGGATAGCGATGTAAACTGTGGGGAAAAAAAAAGAATGAGATGACATGCCAATGTTTATAGGTGAGTCAAGGTTATTAATTCTCTGATAATGGTGAAAGGAAACTGGTATAAAAGATGATACTGCAACAGGCAATCCAGTATTTGTATTAGCAAAGATGGCTCACTTGTACTGCCATTAACGCGCATTTAGAATATTACACGGAATAAAAATCTCACCAATCAATATTAATTGATTCAGCATCAAAACCAAGCACAATAACCAGGTGATATCACAACGTGTTAATATTTTAGGTAGAAACTAGTTTCAGAATGGTATCAATTCATGATGCATAACTTTGTAGCCATCTGCACAGTAAGATTTAGCTTGGCTATCACCTTAAACAATAAATAAATCACAGAGACAACGAAAACTGATAAATTGTGGTAAAGGATAGGACTATTTAGCAAAAAACTAAAACAAATGCATTGCTCGATCAACGTGCAATTTATCCATATGTTCAATCTTCAAACTGAATCAGTTTCCAATACGTTCCTCACAGTCCGAACCACTCTAAGAGCATGGGGAAAGATCTAAAAACAAACTAAAAAAGAACTTGGCACAACATGCATGTAGATTTACAACGCGCTTTCAAACTTATCATTATACGTTAATTGAACAGAAAATTAACTTTGCCACTTAAAGTCTGTTTATTAGCGCACTCAAGCCAAATCTAATCTGCATTTCACAACCACATCACTGTATAACACCAGGGATGTTTGCTAAATAAATCAACACAAAACAAGTTCATTGAGCATACGGGTCCAAGTGACTCAAAAGTGTACTTAATTTACTCCCCATAGGAAACCATCCTCACACAGAACAGGGCACAGCCACAATATGAAAACTAGAAAAGGAATGAAGCACAATGAAATTTCATGAATAAGGTTCTTTTTATGTAGTTTGTTTAACATGTATAGAAGTTTCTTACTGGATCGGCGTGTAATGGGAATCTCCAGGAGTTCACGCCTGATACACAAATATTCACCAAGCAAGGCCATCACTGCTAACCCAGTACCATTAACAGCCCACCACGTTATCGAGGAAGGCCAACCTCCGTATATGATGCATATAAACAAATGGATGATATAGAGGGTGGCCGAAAAATCTAAGCACTTCTTTGCTCTCTCAATCAAATATAGCATATACCCAGCTCTGCATAAAAACCAAAATATACTTTTAAAATAAGCAAATCAACTTTAACAAAAAAACACAGTCATCCATCCGTAAATAGCTAAATAATGATTACAAAAGATAGTAATAACAACAATTAAGAGGCAAAACTATTCCCAATTTAGCAAATAAACAAAAAACATAGTAAAAGTCAGGTATGTAAGTTAAATAAAAGAAACCCAGAAACTGAATGGAATAGAATTACCCGGCAATGGAGGTGAGGAGAAGGGAGGCAATGACACACCAACCGGTGACAGTAGAGGTAGTTATAGTGGCGAAATCAAAGAAATAAACGAGAGTCAAGCGAGAGACGCGAGTGCCAACAAGAAAGGATAAAAAGAAACCAAGTGTGAGATAGTAAAGGCACTGAAGGCATACAATTTGGGCTACTATTAGCCATGGATCCCATACCACTGCACCATAGAACATGACTCTTTGCCTGCTCTTTCCCACAATTCAAACAACACAGCACAACACAACACTATAATTCCAATTTCGTTAAGTTCTATTATATTCAATCTCGATTTACAACATAAACAAATGCTTGAATTGACAAGTAGAATGGTCGGATCCGATTGAACAATTGAAATTGAGTTTAAGAAACCGCAGATTTTGATTTTCAATTTTGAATGGACGGAGAGGGAAAAGGGGGACGTTTTAGAGAAAACTCAAGAAGAAGAACTGAAGAAGAAAGAATCCTGCTTCTGCTTCCCTAATTTTTGTTCGGTTTAAAGCGGATGGCTAGAGGGTTTTTTTTTTTTTTTTTTTTTTTTTTTTTTTTTTTTTGCACTTTTTATTCGTACAGTGGTAAAAAAAGAAAAGGAAAAAAGAAAAGGAGAGCACTACTGCTAAGTCTGAACTGAACCCAACTGAACTAACTAGCTTGAGGCCCCGAGCCAGTTATATGCCTTTATGGGTGGTAGTCGGTGCGGGGAGAATATAGGACCAGGTCAATTGATATCTATATCTATATCTATATCTATATATATATATATATATATATTAGAATTAGAATCTAAAAACCATTCATTAAATTTGTTTTATTTTCTACCAAGATCTATTCTAAATTATCTTATTTGCATACTTCAACATGTTTTCAAATTACAATATGATGATCCTGTAAATCACAGGAATACCTTCAACTTTGATAAGATTGCATAATTGGATAGTTTTTTTGGGATGGCTATAGCTTAGAAGCAAAAGTTTAAGTCTTTGTGCAAGACTAGCAGTCGCATGGAATAGTGGAAATTGAAAATTTGGTGGAGCTGATCTAATGGACATTGGACAAAGTAAACAGAGATTACGAACGAGAATTTTCTCAATGTTATGCCTCAGGATCACATTCATACAACAAACTGGTTTCCAGGAAAAATACCATAGGGGAGGGGCCTGAAAACAAAGAAACAACTCAACTTTACAAACGAAACCATTATTGCAATATTTCATACATTACTTCATTGCGAACTAGCCTTTTTCCTTCTAGTTCTACCACTTCTCTTTGCATTAACAGTGACCTTCTCTTCAGCTTCCGTTTCCTCTGACTTCTGTTCATTTACAACGGTGTTGGATGAATTTATTTTACTCCTTGATCGCAAGTCTTCAGCTTCAGTTTTCTGTGACTTCTGTTCATTAGCAACAGTGTTTGATGAATTTATTTTACTCCTCAATCGCAATATTTCACCCTTGGCAGATGCCAATTCTGCTTCAAGTTTCTTTCCCTTTTTGTCCAAACTCTCCCTTTCCTTGCCAAGCCTCACCACAATGTTATGAGCATCTTCCAAATTCTCTTGGGCCTCTTTGGCTGCATTCTTCTGCTCAGTAAGGGATATGTAAAGCACCTGCTTCTCATCTTCAAGGCTAGAAATCCGAGAATTAGCCATCTCTAGTTCTCCAGAAAGTATCAACGCATTTCGGTTCATCTCATCAAGTGATTTAGTAGCCTCTTCTAGATCTATTTCAAGAGATTTTCTCGACTCCTTGTCCTTTAACATTTGCCTCTCCAGGTTTTGCAATTCTTTATTCAATGAAGAAACTACATTTTTCTCTGCTTTTAATTCATTGGCTGTGACTTCTGCTTTCCTGGAAACATCTACCAACTCCTTTTGTACGCTATCACGATTTTCGGTCACTGTTGCCAGATCTTGAGACATAATTTGCAGCTCCTCTTTAGTTTTCTTCAGTTTTTCCTTCACTGCTGCAAGCTCACTGGCTAACACCTCACCACTCTGTTTTGCCTTCTCAACACTCTTCTGCAGTGTTTCTGTAGCTTCAGCATACTCAGCCTGAATTGTTGAAACCTCGGCCTGAAGCTCAGTGCACTGGTTTTGAGACTGCTTGAGTTGTTCTGACAGATCAGAAGCCTCATTTCTCAACTTCCCAAGGGTTTCCAGGGTGATATGGAGCTCATCTTTTAGATTCCTGACAGTGCTCACTTCAGCATCAAGCATTCTTATCAAATCATCCCTTTCTTGAGTCAAATCCTCAATTCTTGCTTGGTTTCCACTTGCTTCATTCAGAGCAACCTCGAGCTTTTCCTTCGACAGGCGAAGCTCATCTTCTCTTTCTGTCAACAGCTTAGCATCCACGGCAGCCTTCTTTTCAGAGGATGATTTCAGATCATTGTACTCATCCTGAACAGTATTAAGCTGCCTAGTAGATTCATCTCTCTCAACTGTTAAATAACTGATCTTTGAATTTAATTCATCCACCACAGAATTCTTTGTTTCTATTTCCTTTTCATTTTTCAGTAGCTCATCTTTCAATCCTTTGATTTCTGAGAATGCTTGGGCTAGTTCACCCTTAGTTTGCTCACACATGTAATTCAAGTTCTTTAACTCCGAATCCTTCTCAACAAGCGAAGAGCTTAGGCTTTGAGCATTGTCTTCCTTGTCCTTGATCTCCAAACTAAGCAAGTTGATCTTATCTTGCAAGGCTTCAACCATGCTGAGTTTTTCCTTTAGCTCTTGTTCAAGAGCCTTTTTATCTTCCTGAGCTTTTGAGAGGTTGGTTTCTATACCCTCTACTTGAACTTTAAGCTCATCAATTATTCTTTTCTCATTTTTTAGCTCCTGTCCTAACCCTGCAATTGTACTGTTTGCAGAGTTGAGCTGGTTCAACAAAAACTTCTGTTCTTCCTTTGCCTTCTTGAGTTGCTCCATCCGTTCTTTCTGTTCATTCAATAGCTTTGATTCAAAGTTCTTCTCCAAGGATTCAATGGCAGCTTCCTTTTCTTTCAGTTTAGATATCATCTGCTTGTCCCAACCAGTGCATGTGTTAATACTAGAACAAATAACCATAAAAAAAAAATGCATCACAATAACAAATTAAAGAAATAGTTAAGAGTTTTGTACCCTCCTTACCTAAGGAGAAAAATACAGGGGCATTTTCCCCTTTTGAATGTCCAAATGGATCCTGGTAAAATAAACAAACTTGAAAGAGAAGGTCAACAGTGACTTACTGATTCTATTGTTGTATCAGTAGCTTTCTTTTCTTTCCGAGCCAATGCATAAAGCGCACCAAGCACACCAGTACCAAATATGCCAAGTCCATTCAGGAGAGACAGAAAAGGATTTGTCGGTGTATACCTTTGAATTGATAGCTGTCCACGAAGACAGCTCAATTTAGAATATTTCCAATCTCACTATTGCGATCTATAAAAACAATAGAATTTAGTTGTCAGGAATTATTCATAAATGAAGCACAGATCAAAACCTCTTCTCTTTCGTCCTCCTCCGGTGCCTTGAGCATAGCTTCCTCTGAAATAAAACAAATAAATGCTTAATAAATAAAAATACAGGCATGCTTCATCAGATAACACAAATGATAGCAGTAATGAAGACAGAATAGTCCTCCAAGAAAAACAGAAAAACCATGCAGGACACTCAAGAACTATATCAGAGACAGTATATGGCATGTGCTTCATTCTTCATATGTTGCTGTAACTAAGCTTAACCCTCTACCTGGTCACTTAATCCCATAAGACATCCTAGATCAGTCAGCATTCATGTGAGGCGGACATTGATGGAGAAGGAAGCAAGACATCTCAGTTTGATGTTTGAATATTTGAGATATTTACTAGTTGGTAGGGGGTTCTGTTCCGGTTAAAGTAGTCTTTTTAGAGTTTATTTTATTTCTATTGAATGTTGAGGATTTTGGTTTTCCAACTTAGGATTCGAAGCTCTACCATATATTTTGTTTCATTTCTTCTGAAACAATCACAAACACTGTTTTGATTATGAATCTCCTACCAGAAATTCAATGCGTAATCTTAGCATTCAATGTGTATTCCTGAATAATCTCATTTTTCAATTATTCAACCATTTCATTTTACCAAGTTCAATGTTAGTCAGATTAGTCAACATTAATATGTTTCGATGCAACAAGAAGATGTGATTTGTAACAAGTAGTTTTGTTGGTTGGTTTATTGGTCACATTTTATTCATGAAATGGGTTGAATTGATATTAGTTTGGATACAGCAAAATAATTCTCTTAGATCGAATAAGTACATTCTATCTAGTAAGTACCTTGTGTCAGAATTGAGAAATTCTATGGCTCGAATCTTTAGTATTCTACGAACATTTAGTAAATATGGCATTCAATTAAACAGGTGAGAAAGTGACGTACTGTTGGCTCTTCTCTCACTCAAATGAGCCCAAAAAGATTTGATATCATGGTGTCTCCCTGTATTTCTTTCCTTCATTAAAAGAAGATATGAGAGAGGGAAGGTGCTTTTTTCTTTTCTTTTCACAGTTTATATATAGTATTTCCAAATCACTCAATCTACCTATCTTTAAATTTTACATGGGCAAAAGTATGGTCATTTCGAATTTCCTTTTTCCCTGGAACATGAATAACAAAGAACCACAAGATATCATCCTACTTCTTCAAAGTCTAGACTTCAGAGAGGTTTAATACTTTTTCTAGTGAACCTTTTCAATCTCATCTAACTCAATATTCGTTTTCCATGTAAGATTAAGACATTTACTTTGACAGTGGTGCTTAATACGATCAACCCTGATTTTTGAAAATGAGGAGGCTTCACAAGGTTAGCTATATCTCTTAATTGGGGAAAAGACAGTCATTTTGTTGTTCCCATCATCTAATTACTTTAGACTTTTTGCCCTTTGAGAGCAGAGGTGGTCCTGGAGTAGAATTGAAGATTTGTTGATGATGTACCTAGTGGGTTTTGTGAGGGAAAATGAAGAGAAATTGAAGGGAGGATTTTATGGAACTCTTGCTTGTTTGTCGTGATTTGAAGTATTTAGACAGAGCAGAACACAAGAATCATTGAGACTTACTTCTCTCCAAGCAGCTGTTGTAGGCGAAACAATTTTCAATGTCTTTATCTTGTTAAGCTTTGAAACTTTTTGAGATATTTTTGAGATGTCTTTATAGTTTTCGATCTTTGTTGTTGCTTCCTATTTCATGTATCTTCTTTAGGAGGATATCTGATCCTCCTTTGTGTACTTCTGTTTTATTTCATTCCTAATAATGTAAAGTTTTATTATAAAAAGAATAACTTTGAGCATTGACAAAAATTCTTGCCTCTCTCATTTGTTTCCTTCATGGTTTCCCGACTTTCAGTTCCTCTAGTTTCTCTCCATTTTCTTCTCTCCTCTCCTCCCCAATTTCTTCTTTCTGTCCTACATCAGATGTTATAGGAAATTCTCATCAAAATATAAGCTTATTTACACAATATCTACAGCACAAATTGAATAAATACAAAGGAAGAAAAATGCATGACTTGAGAATATCTTTGGTCTCTTTAAGGCCTATAAACGAATTTCAAAGTAAGGTTAATAAAACCAACAAAACTATCACCAAAGCAAATTTCCTGGAGTTGAAAACCAAACATGCAAGGTAATAAGAGGTTTGATGTCACACGAAGAATTTTTATATTAAGGATTTGCAGAAAGATATGAGGCTTCAAAGGATGCACTAGACAAACAAATTTCAAATGCATAAATGCGGGGTGAGAAATCAGGTTTCTGGATTAAAGGTTAATAAAGGACCGAATGGAAACATGTTTTTCTTCAACAAAGAAACACACATTTAATTCACCAAGAACCTTTAAAGATGCATTAGGCTTTCTCTGTGAACCAGTGGCTAAATGAAGGGAATTAGGTTCATTAACAACCGTACTATGAATGAACTTGTCTTTCTCTTGATATATGAAATGTAATCAAAGACTTCTGTTGAGTTTAAAAAATCATTTTTTTTTTATTTTTATAAATGTAATTTTCCATTTCCATAATTGTAGTTTTGATAACATTAATTCTCTACAGCTATGAGACTGGATCATAGTGATAGTGCACAAAACAGACAGAAGGCAGGAGACAATCACAGAAAGCAAGTGCAGCCATCTCCAGTCATTTCAGCTCAGGGACATGGGCTGGGCATAGTGACAGTGGAGACTGATTGCTCACAACTGATAAACTGATAAATGCGGTCTTGCAAGGGAAATCAGATCGCACTTTGGTTTGGCAGCAGAGCTCTAGAGGATTTACAATAGATGTGCACCTCCTTCACAGAAAACAGTTTTTCTCATGTGCCTAGACTATGTGATTAGGAAGCACATCACATAGTGTGTGTTTGGTACCATACTAGACATTCCCATATCGAAATCATCCAAAAGAATTAAAAAAGACTTAGGAAAAGCACTTGAAAACACATAACCAAACACAAACTTAGCAAAGCTTCCTAAAAGTGACAAGAACACTAACTTTTCTCCCAATTCCCTTCATCGGTCATGGAGCTCACACACATAGACGTTACTTCTATCTCTTAGTTATCAAAAGTTGATGTTTTTGAAACAATAGTATGATAAACTTGTTTTATTCTGTCACCGTTTTGGTCCAAAAGACTGCTCCCTACGTGATCTGATGGCATAGCTAACCAATATACAACATCTGCCCACACTAATTCTCAAATTTCATCTTACTTCCCAGTCCCAGACCCAAAAGTACCCACTTGATAACACGAGAATACTCACCTCGTTGTAATGGAAAGAGGTGGAAAGGACACCTCGTGGTAATAAAATAATGCACAGTAGAATGAGGCTGGCATTAACATATTTAAGAAAATTCAGAACACTGGCTCTAGATTACATCAAATCATGCCTGTCATTCAATTCCAAAGAAAGTATCGTAGGTTACACAGCAACTAATTCCAGTACAAAGAAGTAAGAACACCAAGCTGCATAGAGATGTAACTAATGCCTAAATAAAATTACTAGAGTTTTCAACTCCATAAATTTATTTCCCTAAAATATACACAATTTAAAAACAAAATGTGAACCCCCAACCCCCCAATTTCACTAGATACTATACAAGAACCAACGAATAATCGAAAACAAGAGCACACGGACACTCGCATCCAACTACTTCTTGTCCACTGATGGAGGACAAGGGATAAAAAAGAAAACCCATTTCACCAAGTACAACAATTCAATAAAATGAATAACAAAAAACTCCATGTTTCTAATACCAAAAACCAATAAGAATCATGAAATCAAACTCACTTGTAACAAGACCTTCAAGAGCTCTGGCCCTGAGTTGCAAAAAAGGAAGAACTGAAATACCCACGAAAAGGACAGCTCTCTTCTTGCTGAAAACAATGTCCTTTGGATCCTCTTGGCCCATACAAGCAGAAACTACTATCCTCTTCCTCTCAGTCATTGCATTATTATTGCCGTTGCTCTTCGCATAAAAAGAAACAGGTTGGGAAGAAGAAGGAGGGGAAGTGGAGGAAGGAAAGTGAGAGTGTAAAAGATAAGAGCTTCCCATTGCGAAGCTCATGGTCATGGCTTTGTGTCTGGTTTCTTGATTTTGAATTTGAGATGGAAAGGATCACTGCAGTAAAGGCATGGTTCGGTGGTTCTCTTGCCTCGCTACAGTATACTTTTTATCTTTCTTTCCGTGTTTTGTGTCTCATTCAAGTTTTAGCTCTTTTCCATTTTGGTCCTTAATTGACGTTAATGTCCTTCTAAGTTGAAATAATTGCCAAATGCAGATATGATCAGTTGCCGCTGCTCGTCAGGGATGGCAACACCCACTCTACAAATCCCCCATGGACGCTTCCCCATCTTATTGTCCAATATTCCAATAAGTGGCAAAACTAATAATTTTTTAATATATAAATAAATAAATAACAATTTTTTTATTAAAAATAATAAATCCGTATTAATAAAAGAAAAAAATGAAAATTAATATAAAAACACTTTGATAATCTAACAACAACAATTCAATTTTCACACTGTTAATTTTGTTAATTTAACTCTTCTACTATGGAAAAGTCAATCGATCCATGTTTCAAACAAAAGACAATTACAATAATATCAATCCCAATTATAAAATTTGTTACCTTCCCATCAATCAATCTAATTAAATAAAAATTATTAAATAAATAAAAAGTTGAAGAGGTTCGGTTTTTAAATTAAAAATTAATTATTGAAATGTTATTTTGAAAAAAAAAAGTACTTTCTATTTGCCCATCAACAGTTTACTGAGTTAACAATCAAATTTAATAGTATAAATATCTTAAAGGATAGAAGAATAATTACAAAATTGTAACATATAAGATTGATATTAAAAGAAAGTGATAACAATAGAGGACTTTTAGACAAGGATTAGAATACAAACTGCAAAGGACAAAAGAATTTAAAAAAAAAAAAACTTTGATTTCATACGGATCATGAACATCCAACTTCCCATCCTGTTTACAAGACATGTTGACAAAGTACTAATTTTGTGCAGTATAAGCCATGTTGCCTGATCGTATTTTTCAAGGACATAATAATATAACGAAGTAAATGAAAACCATCTGGTTTAGCAAAACGGTCAGGTTCGAGACCATCTACGAACATCTATCATCTAATCTAGCAGTAGAAATTAATGTAAGGGGTCATAGATGACCATTCAAAACCTCAAGTTTTGGTTTGTACTAATTAATTGTCTGCAATACACTAATGAAATAAATAAAATTTATTTAAATTTAATAATCTATCTTATGTTGTAAATATATTAAAATATATTGAATCCAAGGGGAATTTTTTTTTAATCAAAATTTTGTATTTCATTTATTCTTATTTATGTTTTTCATATTTTTTGTTATTAAAAAACTTGATTTGTTTTTCATTGTGCATTAATTCTTGAATGAAAACCTATAATAATGTAAATTGAAATTTAACATGTAATTTTAAAAAACATCTTACTATTTTTTTTTTAATAAGATTGCATCAAATAAAAAAAAACAACAATTAAAATAAAAACTTACATAAAAATTAATAAATGAATCTTTTTAAACTTTTTAAAAATATGTGAATAATATTTGTATGAAAAGATGCATTTGAATTATTAGACAATTCTTCTCAAATATTATTTTAATTTATTTATTTGAAAGAAATTAATTTTAGAATATTAAAAAATTAAACGCAAATCATTAGTGTTATGTGTGTAAATGCATAGATAATTTTTAATAAAATAAATAATCTTACTTTTTTTTAATATACATCATGATTATATTCGAGTGTGTCGAGCATGCAAGTATAAATTAAAAAGTATTTAAAAAATAATTTGTAAGAAATATATTGAAGTTAACAGAGTGTGATAAAAACAACAACAAAATTAATTATGATAAAATTTGATTATATAAAGAATAAAAAAATAAAATATATAAATTCTATTATTTAATTTATTATTTATTAAAAAAATAATTTAGAAATTCATACATAAAAAAACAAATCATATTTATTAATACAAAAATTGATAAGAATTTTTATATGAATCAACGAATTGAATATGTATATACATACATACAAAGCAAACCTTGCGTGTCTGTGCCTGTAGAGACAAGCCCAAGTGACCTTTTGAAAAAAAAACGGCAACTTTGAGCGAATTGAAAATAGCTAGAATTGTCGTAAAAAAATGAGAGTTTCATTTTCAAGGTTCCAAAACTTATTTCTAGCATCATTTTTTCTTCAAAATACTTTAAAATTATTGAAATAAAGCTAATAAAATCGTTTAAAACTTTAAAAAATATTTCAATATATATATAAAAAATATATATAAATCAAATCGGAAAGTTAAATTTGTTTTGTGTTTCGATCTACTTTATCTAACTATCTTATGATTTAAAAAGACTATAGGAGATACAAACCTTCCTCCCTCAATAAAAAATATTTTATGAATACATGAGAGAGAAAAATAAAAAATAATGTTAAATTCAAATATAAATGTTCAAAAACACTAAAAAATTCACGACAAAAATTATTAAAATTACCATCCAATGAATAATGATTTTAGGCTAAACAGTTTTTTTACAGTAAATATTGTTCAAAAACTCCATCACTTTTAGTTTTTTGTAATAATTCATTTACTTGGAAAAAAAATCCTTAATTTTATTATTTAAGAGTTCTTTTTTTTCTTTATGGTTGCTTCAACGCTTAGGCTAAAGAGAGAGGGAAAAAAAGGCTAAAACATAAAATACCATTCTGAATTTGAACCAAAAAAAAACCTTTGAACTTTTTTAAAAAAATTTGAATTTTAAATAATATGATTTTTTTGAATTTTTTATTTTCATTAGAGTTTTATTGAGAAATTGATGAAAAAACTTATAAAAATTCTCTCACTTTTTTTCCCCCTACCAACCTATGAAAACATGTTAACTCTAGCTCTCGCTTAACAGCTACGGACGAACCGAAGGGGCCCACGAGGTTATTTCACGTCATTTGAACACAATACTAGGGCTTCCTGCTGAGCCCAAGCTCAACAAAAGGTGCCCGTGAATTAAACCTAGTTTATCCTTTAGCTATTTACTATTCAATCTCTTTGCATCATAGCAACATTTGACCATTGAATTAAGGGATAATGTATCCATCTATTTTTATATTTTATTTAAGAGTATATAGATTAATTAACCCTTGAATTATTAATATTTTTATCAATAGTCCTTGTAATGCATAAACAAATCGAATGGCATGAAACAATTCCATATGATAAAAATTATAATTTTATGGAGGATAATACCTGTTTGAAGATAAAAAAGGATGGCAAAAGGAGATTAATTAGTCTTGGAAACAGAAAGACAACCTGATAACAACAACAAAATCTCAAAGATGATTCGTATAACTTATCTGATTGAGACGTCTCTTTATAAAATTTTTCATTTGCCAAAAGACATTGAATTGCCCAAGTCATTTTCATTTCTATTATATATTCTTACTCCTGTAGCGCCCGCAATTTATCACAATGAGCCCACCACTAGCATAGTTGTTTTCTTAGCCATCATTGACTCGTAAGGCCGTGTGGGGTTCAAAACTCCCTATGACACACAATTCCATCCAACCCCTAATAATGACGGTCTTTTCGAAAGAATGGCTGTTCGCCGAGTTGGTATCACAATGATGCAAATTTCGACAAGTTCCAATTTACATGTTGCCATGCAATCAAGGACACTCGTCATGCTACGTGAAGCGGTGGCCAAAGTTTTGATCACCACTAAACTTAATGCCAAATTGCCATTCGATGAAAGGATCACTAAGTTTTTGTTTAAGAAGCTGGGGAATCTCAGAGGTTGATGTCTCAAGAGGTTCCACATTCCCAGTACTGCTACTTTTATGGCAATAATTCTTGAAGGAAGTTATGAATTTTCTTCACCAAATATTCCATTATGGACTTAAGCTGAGGTCTTAAGTTGTCGCAATAAAAATGATTAGGTAATATTATAAGCTCATAAAAAGATGGCATATTTCTAAAAGACAGAAATGCTACTTGAGTTGCATGTTTTGTTGTATATTTTTTGTGGCTGAGGGATGCATTAAATGGGGGAGGAGAGATTTAATGCACATTAATAGCATATGCCGGAAGTTGACAGTCCAAACACGTTGTTATTTTTGCATCACACGGACTTATAAGGATATAGAAAAGCCACATAATTGTTGCTGTGGCAAAACGTTTGCCATAGAAGCTTTGACTTATCCAGAAATTGCAAATGATGCTCCAAATTAATGGATCACAACGCCCGTACAGGTGCCATTGAACTATGATCATGCCATTAATTCATAATCACAATAGAGGTTAGAAATAAAATCAATCACAGTTTCATACTTCCGGTGTCTAGAAAGAACAAGATAGAATGGCGTTCATTATTTTAATGCTGAGTGTGTTCACTGGCGAGTCCAATAAGTTTAGAAGGCAGCTACATGCATCAACAATAAAGGCAGTAAATTAAAGAAAACGAAAAGACAACCGATGGGTGAGGGCTCTTAGCCACTTCTAACACATCTAATAAAAATATGCAAAAATAACAATCAACGGTAATGTCTATGCCCCAAAAATGAAATGAAACTCGGTGCAGTTCCTATCCGGGAATCACAAACCCCATAGTACCTGAAACAAAATCATCAATTCACATTCGTGATCATCCATGGCTGCAAACAGATGGGCATAAATAGCTTTTTTTGTGAACAGATGATCCGTTTGTTTATCATTGAGTTGAGACGTGAGACCCGGGAGAAGTCATGGCATCCAGTTATTCAGCTATGGGCATAACCATTAGGAAAACATCTTCATGGTAGCTGGACTCGGGAGAGCTTTTGGAGGACTCGTTGCAAGTTTTCTCTGTTTCCTGCTCAGCAAAAATTTCCTCAGAGTGACAATCAGAACTGCAGAATGCATTCTCACCTCTGCAAAAGATATAAAGACAACAATGTCAGCGATAGCAACTAGCCTTCCCCCAATAAAGGATTTCAATTAGAGAGGTCTGGGGCATACTTGTGCATATAAATATCGTCTGCCTTCTCCAAGTTTGTTTTGCATGAATAACAGAAGCTCAAAAACTCATCCCGTGGAAAAGCGGTTGAATCCTCCGGGCACTTAGCCTCTTGAGGCAATTTGATCCCTAGATTTTCTATTTTGTCAAAATTGGACAACTCATTTGATTGACATTCCAAAATATAGTCACCAAAAACATGAGTTGTTTTAGGGTTTGGACCATGGGATATTATACAAGTATAATCCTCAGAAAGCTCAATCTCACGTGCAGACAAAGAGCCTATATATCCTTGTCCAGAGCCGATGGTTATGGGAAGCGAACTCGGTTTGATCACCCAAGAACTGTCCGTACTTGAACAATCACCAATTTCCAGCGGGAAACTTGTTGTGCTAGTAGTTTTATTCTCTGAACCGAATTTTCCAGAACTTAAATCCGGTTTGGGGGTTGCTAAGCTAATTATAGAAGAGCTTTCAAATGGTTTAGGTTCTGATAGCACTACCTCACTCCCAAAGGAATCATCTGATATACCCAGTCGGGGGCTGGAAGTCTTGGTTCCGGATAGTGAAATTGTGTAGTTTCTTGGTAAAGAATTGGATTTCACAGAAGAAAAGGTCTTCACCTGTGGTGCAAATATTATGGTCTTTCTCTTAGCTGAATCAAGAACCTCACCAATAGGTTTGGTTTCATCAACAAGTAAATGTACTATGCCGAGACCTACTTTGTTGCAGTCCCATTTCTTTTGGGCGTTTTGGCAAGGCAATCTGGGGGATCTGTTGCTAAATGGGTAGCTACGATTTGTGAAAAAACTGAAATCAAGTGGAGATGTAGGACTCTTAACCAAGTCAAAATCTGGTGAAACTCTAGAACCAAGCCCTGATAAGAAACTAGGAATATTGAAAAAAGAACTGCTTAAATGTCTCAGACCGAATGTATCAGGTTGAGGGTTGGACTCTGTATCAGAATCCGCCATTAGATTCAATATGCATGCCCCTCTCTAGCGTGATCTGCTTCTCCTCGTAAGCATTATTAAGAACCTATAAAGGCTTTTAATACAAACCAGCAATTACTCACTGCAATATTTATGGTAAATAATATTAATGAGAACCATAAATCATCAGAAGTGATGGAAACATTGCTAAAACTTTAATCAATGAACAGGCAGAAATAAACAGCTAAGATGTAGGAAATACTAATAAATAAGGTATCAAAATAATGACAATATTATTCACAGAAAAACACGCCTGAATGAACATAGAGATGGAAACACTGCTAAAAGTTTAAAACTTTAATCAATGAGCACTAAGAAATAAGCAGCTAACAATAAATAAGGTATCAAAAAATTGCGTCAATAATGACAACTTGATTAACAAAAAAGGCTCTAGAATGAACCAATACATTGTGAGCTCTGACAAAACATCACAGAAGTATGAATTTGAAACAAAGCATCAACAACGATAAGAGTCCTTAAATACTCTTAGAGGTCCTAAGATGATTTAACTGCAAAAAGCTTGGAGATCAAAAAATCAACTCATGAATTCACGAACAGGAATCCTACCAAAAAAATGTACAAACCATAAAGGTATGTAAATCTTAAATCAATGATAAAACTAACACAGTCGGCAATAGAAAGGAATCATTGAGCTATACGAGGCGAAGAGTTGAGAAACAATGAAATGTTCTCACACCAAAGAAGGACTGACAAAAGCATGCACTGTTAAATGAGTAATAGGGGACTTATTGATAACCCAGATAAAGAGAAGCCGGATGATAGATGATGAGAATCCCCAAAAGATGGTAAATGAGAAAGAATTGTAATTGTAAACCCACAAAAGAGAGTTGCTTTCTACACATTACAAAGATTTCAGTAAAGTGTGTTATTGGAAGACTAACAAGATATGGATTTTCCATAACAAAATAATAAATCAAGAATAAAACATGCATAAAAACTAAGAAACATAAAAATTTATAAAGACCCCATTAAAGAAAATTGATTACTTCATCATTCAACCTCCTCAAAAGGTATATCAGATCAATGTTCAAAGGAAAGAAATCCACACATGCATCAATAAAAGAACAGAGTAGATATAATCTGAGAATGAAAAACAAAGCAGATGGTATCAAATCAAGACAAAAAGAATAAAACTTTAAGAACACCCAACCATTAAGGCAATTAACAGAATCAGTGATGGACACCATAAAACAAAGAAAAAAAAAGTTAAGAGGATGAAAACTCACTTTGGTTTATCTTCTCATAGCTTCATAGAAGAGCCAGAGAGGAACTAGAAATGCAGTTAGAGAGACTTCATTTATACTTGATAAAGTCCCAAACTCGCCTCCCCTGGCACAAAACTCCCTTTCCTATGTAGCACTCTCTCTCTCTGTTTTTTTTTTTTTTTTTTTTTTGCCCTTTTCCTTTTCCTTTTCCTTTCTTTCTTTCTTTTTTTTTCTTTTACATTTTTTTTTTTATAACTTCTCTTGCATCAAAATCAGAAAAGCAGGGAGTCACAGAGCTTCTGAAGTTCTGATACATATAACACTCGTCTCTCTATCTTGTATGATTGACCAAGATATACGTACAGTACACGGTATTGTATTATGCTACGCATATTCCTTGTCTTCCACAACTAAAAGACAGAGCAGCATTTCCTTACATGTAAATCATTCTTACCCAAATAAATTGTACGCGCAAAATTTATGCATCAATCATATCCCCTTGTCGAAATGCGGTACGAGATATAACAATTTTCTTCTTTTTTTTCTCTAAAAAAAAATGATAATTTCTTTTTTATCTGAAATGTAGTAGATAAGATAATTACAAGTCCTGAAAAATGTGAAAACCATAGAGCATTTTATCTGCGTTGAAGTTGCATTATTGTCATAGTTGCAAAAATGATCAAATTCCATGTTAACTTTTGTCTTCTATGTAAGTTTGCAAATTCCCGGTCATTATATATTATTTTCGATAACTAATACATTTATGCATCAGATTAAGGTTTTTTTTTTCAACAAGAAGGAAAAAAATCAATTTAAAGATTGTTTGTTTTAAAGATGGTTTGTCCTGCCACATGTGAATAAATTATAAATTAGTTTATTTAATTTTACAAAACGAATTAAATGATTTTTTTATTTTAAAAGTTAATTAATTAGTCATTTAATCAATGATGATCATTATTTATTTAATATTATTTTGTTTTCAAAAAGTATTTTATTTTTTCATCAATCATGTTATAATTTTTCTTAAAATAAAAAATTAAAATAGATTGAAAAAAAAAATTATAAATAACTAGTTGTACTATACTATTATAATTATATAGGGTCCCACACATGTCAAGAATGAGTGGGAACCACCAACAAAATAAATGGTGGTCGTATTTATAAATGGGAACCTTAGCCTTTGATAATGCGTTTTTACGGGGTCAGCGCAAAAGGACAAAAAGCTGACGGATGGTTTCGAATGTAACTGACCTAACGTCTCTAACGGCAATGTTTTTCTTGTTGGTTTTTTTCCCCTTATATCGTGAAGTATAGAGATTGGTTGACAGTACGTTGTCAATGAATTGAGATGACAACAGAAAAGGTTCCATGCACTTTGAGGGAAGCGCGTGCCTGGTTTCTTAAGATGGGGAATGATGGTTAAAGAAAAGGCTAAGGACGAAGGCTATTCAAATACAATTTTAAATTCAGTCCCTTCTCGTATAATTAAATTTTAATTTAACTACCCATAATGCGAGTTGTATTTTTCATCGAATGGAACGCATGGTTCCCGCTTCCGTCTTCATTTATATATTAGAGAAATAATATATTTACATACCTGTTTTAATCAATTATATATATATGATTGATTCAAATTACGGGTTTTTTAATTTTTTATATGGTGTTTGTTGATTTTGATTTGAAAACAAAGTATATGAATTTTAAGATTAATTTACTTTTGAATTAAAACATTGATGTGAGCCCGCCTAACTCGATGGTTAAAAAACCTACAAACAAGATGACTCGAATCCTAGTAAAGTTAAATTGACTCCGAAGAATGATAGTAGACGTCATACTTTAGAATAGATTGAAGGGAAATAATAAGTCTTCGCAAACATATAAAAATTGTTGAATTCTTGATAAGTTCAAGATTAGTTCTTTCAATGTTCACTAAGCTTAACTCCTCTTTTGGCCCATTAAGAGTTTGAGCAGTACATGTATCTTGAAGAAAGCCCATTCAAAGTCTTTTAAAGCTCTTTTGCCTTGTCTTTTATAATTGGACCTCCTTAGATGCTCAATGAGTCAGCCACTTCTTGGTCCATTCCATGGTCGACGACTCGGTTCTCATAATTCCCCCTTTCATTGAAAGGATTCGTCTTCGAATCGTCACTTGTATTAAACAAAGAAAGGTCGAAACATTAAAAGTTGTACTCACATCATACTCGCCTGGAAGATCTAACTTGTAAGCATTTTCATTGACTCACGCCACCACTCGAAACATACCATCACCTCTAGATCGTAATTTAGAATGACATTGAGCTGAAAACCTATCTTTACGCATATGCATCCAAACAAAAACACCTAGTTCAAGCACAAGTTTCTTACGACCCTTATTGGCATAAGATGCATACTTTTCGGCTTGTTTTTTAATTTGTTGACGAACCTTCTCGTGCAACTTTCTCACAAACTCGACTTTATGCTAACCGTATAAACTAGCATTCTCATCAAGCAAAGACATCAAATCTAATGGAGTCGGATGATTAAACTCATACACAATTTCAAATGGAGAATGACTAGTAGTAGAATGAACACCCCTATTATATGCAAATTCAATATATGGTAAACGATCTTTCCATGTTTTCAAGTTCTTAGTAATGAGTGCACGTAACAAAGTAGACAAAGTTTGGTTAACAATCTCGGTTTGTCCATTTGTCTATGGATGATAAGTGGTTGAAAATAACAATTTAATTCCCATCTTACCCCATAAATTTTTTTCAAAAGTAACTTAAAAATTTGGCATCTCAATCAAAAATAATACTCCTAGACATATCACGTAAATGTACCACTTCTTGAAAGAGCAACTCGGTTATGTTACTACTAGCATCATCAATCTTATAGCATGGAACGAAGTGTATCATTTTTTAGAATCTATCAACAACAATAAAAAAAAAAATCCCTACCTCTTTTGTCCTAGATAGCCCTAACACAAAATCTATTGAAATACCAACCTAAGGTTGGCTAAGTATAGGTAACGATGTATATAATCCATGGGGTAAAACTTTAGACTTGACTTATCTACATGTGATACATCTCTCACACACTCTCTTAACATCTATTTTCGTACGTGGCTAGAAGAAATGTTTAACAACGATGTCTAAGGTTTTTCTAACACCAAAGTGTTTCATTAAACCATCCTTATGTGCCACTCACACAACCAACCTTCTTAAAGAACTCACGAGCACACACAAATGGTTTTTCCCAAAGAAAAATCCCTCATGCCAAAAAAATTTATCAAATATAGATCTTTCACATGCCTCATACACATTAGCAAAATCAAGATCAAATTCATATAAGACTTTAATATACTCAAATTCTAACAATTTTGTACTAAGTGTAGAAATAAAAACATAACTTTAAGATAATGCAAAAACAACCACATTTTCCTTATCTTGCTTGTACTTGATGACGTTACGAAAGATCCCAATAAATTCAACCCATTCGACATGTCTCTTGTTCAACTTTCTTTGCCCTTATAAATGCTTCAACAATTCATGATCAATATGTATTACAAATTCTTTAGGCCACAAATAGTGCTACCACATCTCCAAAGTTCGGACCAAAGTGTACATCTATTTGTCATAAGTTGGATAGTTAAGGGTCTGCCCCATTTAACTTTTCACTAAAATAAGCTATTGGTCATTTTGTTTTCCCGTATCAAAACAACTCTTATGCCAATACCTAAAGCGTCACACTCAATCTTAAAAGTTTTTGTAAAGT